CAAGTTAATCCACAGAAAAAAAACAGGTCTGAATTTTGCTTTCTCTGAAATGACAGTTCTTCCCCTTCAACCTCAGTCTGATGGCTTGGACGGGACATATTTTACTATTATACTGCAAGACAGAGATGGTGAGGATGAGCAATATCATAAAACTCTACTTTATATTCCATTTCTGTTGGAAATGTGACAATACCTCATGGTTCATACTTTAAATGTCAAATCTTTATAGCATGATGTATTCTGATTGGTCATCGGTTTTAGCATTCATTATCTCAAAAAAAAAAAAAAAAACCCCAAAAAAGCTCTGAATACTGTGATCAATCACCACCTGTGCAATAAGCCTATTCTGGACATTTTCTCACTAATAAATATGGCATGGACAACTGTTAGTGGTATTACAACAACAGCAGCAGCAACTCTGCCACAAAGTGGTAGGCCATGTAAGATCAGGGCAGGGTCATTGAATGCTGAGGCACATCTCCAGGTAATCTCCAGCTTTTTATGGGGATTGTGGTGTGGGCTTGTTATTCAGGGGTTAGGCTTTTCCCCAAATTGTGATCCTCAACAATTAATTTACCAACACTAGATAATTTTATGCCCCTATATTTTGAGGAACAGTTTTGGAGGGACCACTTTCTGTTCCAACTTGACTGCAAAAAGCAAGTTCTTTCACGAAACACCAAAACACATTTTTTGAGCTGTTGACAGTCGTATATGTGTCCCACACTGCTAAAAACACTATTAGGACACCTATATTTCACTAAAAAGTGTAAATTGGTTGTTTTTGCGTTATTTCAAGCAAATTCGTACTTCCTGTTTGAAACGAATTTTTGAAGCTGCGTCACGGTCATGACATAATAGCCTGTATTCCAGCGTGCAGACTGGACGTCTGTGCCAGAGTCTTATTACGTCTTACAGTGCGATGCATTTATGCATGAGTAAGGCTTGGTTCAAACCAATCAGCGCGCTCTATTGTGCAACTTCATTAATATTCATTTCTGTGTTTACACGACATCGACGCCACGTTGTGTTGGCAAAACAAGCATGAAGTGTTGCTTTTATAGTTTGCTGCCGTTAAGTTTCGTTTTCTTTTTCTCTCTGTGAGAGCTCAGACTCACGTGTGGATTAACAGTGTACGCGACGCTCGACAATAACTTACGTGTCTAAGGAGGATTATTGTTTACCTGAGAGCTGTTCTCATCTGCAAACGCTGAGATCTGGAATCGCTTGTAGTCTTCTCTTCATAAAGACGCGGCTCTTGTTGCTGGTGATTGTCCTGTCTCTACAGATTTGGTAAGTGAGCGACCAGTGCTCTTTGTTTATTCAGTTTGTTCGTATCAAACTAAGTTAACTATTGCACCGTAACATGTTAGGACCACAACCAAACTTTAACCTTGTGTAGGGTTTTTATCCGCATTTAGTGACCGGAATAACACACGCGGCTTTCTGACGCTACCTGCCGTGTGCATCTAAGTTTCCGGGAAATGCGGAGGTTTTTTTTCTCATTCGCCGTGCAGTATCAAACACTGCATGAAAAATACACGCTTAGAGCAGATACTCGAATCAAATATCGCGTTTGTCGCGAGAGGCATGAATGAATTCCCTGAATGAAAGAGCCAAACTGCAGTTAAAGTCCACCATTTAATAATTTGGCAAATAATTCCACTACAGATGTCCATGTAGGTTAAACACCATCACTTTCTACTGTGTGTGAGTATTTTGACTGAAACTCGCGCGTGCCCAAATAGACACTCCCACACCATCCCACTTTAGTTCCTCCGACACTCCCCCCTAAACAGAGCTGGACACGCCCACTTTTCTGACTTTTTCCAAAGTAGAAAAAACGAGGGGAAACGAGGGGGTTTCATGGCCCTTTAAAGACTTGGATGAGCAAATTTGGTGTGGTGAGGAACTTTACTGCCCAAACAGAGTCCTGACCTCAACCTAACTGAACACCTTTAGAATGTGGACTGAGCAAGCGCTTTTCATCGAACATCAATGCACGACCTCGCAAATGCACAAAAAATTCCCATAACCACACAAAAACTGTGGAAAGCTTTCCCTGAAGATCTAAGCAGTTATATCTGGATATAGTGAGCCAACTCCATATTATACCCTACAGATTAAGATTGGGCTCTCAATAAATATAAACACTACCTGACAAAAGTCTTGTCGCCTATCCAAGTTTTAGGAACAACACATAATTACTTCACTTAGTTGATCATTTGGTATCAGAAGTGGCTTATATGAAAGGCAAAGGCCTCTAGATTACCCTTCTTCCACCAAAATAAAAAATGTTCATGTCCTGATTTTTAATTACTTAGTTAGGACAGTAAGGTCTGACTTTGCTTAGACGAAAGTCTCATCTCTTAACAGAAATAATGTACAGTATAGAATATAAAGTCATGCTGCAGTGGAAAAACAATGCATATTGTGTATGACTCCCAAGAGCTTATAGGACTGCATCCATACATCTCTGCAATGACTCAAATAACACATTAATAAAAGTCATCTGGAATGGCAAAGAAAGCGCTCTTGCAGGACTCCCAGAGTTCATCAAGATCACTTGGATTCATCTTCAGCATCTCCTCCTCCATCTTACCCCTTACATGCTCAATAATGTTCCTATCTGGTGACAGGGCTGGCCAATCCTGGAGCACCTTGCCCTCCTTTGCTTTCAGGAATTTTGATGTGTAGGCTGAAGTATGAGAACGAGCGCTATCCTGCTGACGAATTTGCCATGTCATGTGGTTTGTAATGTAATGAAATAAGCAGTACAAATGTCTTCAGGCTGTTGATGTTGCTATCAACTCTTTAGATCTCTCGCACGTCTCTAAAATGAATATAACCCCAAACCATGATCCTTTACCAAACTTAACGGATTTCTGTGTGAATCTTGGTAAAAATCTTGGGTCCATGCACCCGCAATTGGTCTTCTGCAGTAATGTTTTGATTAGGAATGCAGTTCTACAGATGATTCATCGAAATACATGGAGAGTCTAAAAATGCTTTTATATCAGCTGACGTTAGAACAGCAAACACAAACATCAGTTTAGAGCTAGTATTTGAGTGATTCTCTAGCGAAATGTCTAAAGTGATGACATAACAGGTGATTTTGCTGACATTTTAGAATTATAAGGCTGAACGGCATGAAATGCCATCAGTCTACAGACATTTCCCAGTATCTCTATGTTGCAATTTGGAGATAACAATAATTAACCCTGAAAACGCCAAAGCTAACACAAACAGATTACTATATAAATACAGCAATGAAAAATACAAAAGAGAGATCGAATGTAACCTACCTTTTTTATAATGATTTGTTTAGCTGTAGTTTGAAATTTTAAGTTTTTCTTCCCTAAGGGCTTATTAAGTGGTCTTTGTTGCCATCTTGTGATGAAATGTGTCTGTTGGCTGCCAACATGCTGAACAAATATTTTTAAAAAGGCATCATTCTTATTATCTTATCTTATTACAATATCACATGTTGACCAGCAGCTGCAATATTGTTAAACTGTGGTGAGCTTATTCCTCTGCTTGGGCGGAGTAATACACAAAGGTAAAGAGGCTGAATGAGTGATGATATTGCAAAATATCGCACAGCTATCAACCAATCAGATTCGAGAACCAGACAGAATCATATGTGCTGGGCGTATATAAGATAGTTGAAACTGGGAATATTAGATTTAAAAAGTTTTTTTTTTCCTGTATGTTGGGGTAATTACAGCATGTTCAATAGAAATTAAAAGATTCGTTTTCTCCAAATGATCTGCTGTTTAGTTGTGAAGTTTACTTGACATCTTACCTTGCAGGCTGTTTTGCCTGAATTTAATCAGCATTTGAAACGTAATGATAAACACGTACAGTTTTTGATATTTAGTGCATTTCCCTCCTGTAAACTTTTATGAAATACTCAGTATTTTCCCCATATTTAGAGGGCGCACTGCGGGCTGTAATTTGTGCCGGTTATTGACGGATGATCGGTTTCCGTAGCCGGTTTCCTGAGCGGCCAAATCAGCGGCCCACCCACCTGGAATAGCTAAGTGTACACCGGTTAATTGCTGTCTGTAGGAAGGGAAGCCGATGAGGGGGAAGATGTGAGCTTCAAGTATTCACAATATAGTCGAGATACAAAAAAAAAAATATTTAAAATCTGTCGGCTGCACATGGGCCTAGACTGCAAAACAGCTCGCACTTTTCACCTGTGCAAATCCTAGTGCCAGGAGAGAGAAAAAAAAACCCGTAAATGAATTACTGTTCCAGCAAGGAGTGGTTAATATTTGATGCTCTCGGTGGATTATGTGCGCTGAGCTGATTGCATCGCTCTCCATGGTGCTGAAATGGCGAATGACGGCTGTCGATTAGCCAGAGGCGCCGGTTGAGGATCAGCACTTGATTGCACGATTCTGCACCAGATGATTTGAGATTATTAACTCCAACTCATTTGTTAGATATTAGATTAAGCGCAGATTAATAGCTGGAGATTTAATTATGCATTAATTGCCTATGATTCATCTTTAATAAAGCACTTCTTAAATAAAGTTGCATTTATTGCAGAACCATTCATACATCTTTTTACCAATTTAAATTTACGTGGTTTTATATCATTACCAGGTTTAAATCTATAGATAGTGTAGTAATATTTTAAAATATTGCATGTATTCATAATTAAATATTGGATAAATTAAATCTTTTTATTTTATTATGGTTTTTATGTGAATAGCTTTCATGCTGTGGCAAAAGCGACGGTTGTCATTATGCGGGTTGGCTTTTCTCTCTCTCACACACACTCCCTCTCCCTCTTTGTGTTCGTGTCTTTTATGTGCATTTTGTTTTTAAATCCATATTGGGTTGCCACATTTATCAAACGCCATAGCTTACCTCTATATATCCCCAAGCCATTTCTCCTATCTTTAAGGGAACGGAATCAAGATTATTAGAGTCACAAACAAAATGACATCGTTGTCATGGCAACCGATCTGTGTGTCTCCCATCACCACACACACACACACAGACACACACAGACACACCATATTGCTTAGCCAGCCATAATCGTGGCAAGGATGAGAAGTAGTTTGAGAAACGAAACACTTGAAGCGGTCGGGAATCAACGTATCAAACCCTCATCAACGCCGTCTCGCGAAACCAATAAACGCACTATTCAGCGCAGCGGACCTGTGTGAGAACACCCGCCTCATTCCACCGGTGTTTCGTGACAGGGTCGGAATGTTCTTGTGTGCACACTTTGCAGGCGGCGTCGATTAACGGCAACGTTGAGGAGCAACAATTCATGGCATCGGTCATTCTGCGCGCCATTAAAAACACACGAGGGACCTAGACAAAGGTGATCTCACCTGGAATACTTTCACAGCACATAACGTTACACGCAAATAAGTTGCACTGAAGGGGCAAAAATTGATGGTCTAATCTGTAGTACGAACATGGAAACGAGCGGGGTTGGTGAGAGAAAATCCTGGGAAGAAATGAGTGACTATAACAGTTGTTTTGTTATCAAAAAACGAGGCTGTCATCAGTAGGGGAGCGCTGCAACAGTTTGTGGGAATAATTCCTCAGCCATCATCGTCGCTCAGGTTGAATAAGATGTGAGACTGCTGCTGTTGTTTGTCGTGAGGATCAGTGCAATTCAGTTCAGGTAAGTCTTTTAAGTTCAGCTACACAGCTGCATGTCATCTAAATGTCTTTATTAATGCGCGTTTTTCTGCGCCATGCTTCTGTTCTCATGGAAGTTTCGTGGCTTACGCTTGCAAAGGTGTTAGGCGAGACTATGTTCGTGTCACATCTTGTGTTTTGAGTGAGTTTCGGGCGTCCAGAGGAAGATGTTCACACATATGTAAGTGTAAGGTGGCTCCACATCAGCCTTCGTGCAAACATGCATTCACGCCTACGCAGACGGCCATTCATTGCGCTCGCGCTGCTTGTCATGTCCTCCTACTCACCCTCGTGCGAAGTACAGCTCCACAATCCGCAAGAGACACGTCGATACACGATACTTTCACCTTCGACTATCAGAAATGTATCAAAAGCTGTTGTTATTGAGGAACATGAGTGTAGCGAGAGCGTCAAAAGTCAGCTTTGCGCAGAGGAGTTTTCGCACGGTGTGTTTCTCCACAGGTATGACGCTCGCTCATTCTGCATGTGTTAAATTGACACAATCACAGATTGGGGGGATTTTTGCGGCCTACACATAATTAAACAACTTCTAAAATAACTATATATATATATATATATATATATATATATATATATATATATATATATATATATATATATATATATATATAAAACTGTAAGGCATGATGTTATCAAGATGGCATCTCTGTAAAAAATGATGACAAATATGAGTTAACTTGAAAATACTTGAAGAAAGCACCTGCAATATTTGTTGTGTGTCATTATTTCTATATTCAAACTGATATGTCATTATTACAGCTCATACAAGTAAAGCTGTTTGTCCTGTTTAGAAATCTGTGAAATTAGCTGTCATGGAGAACCAAGCAGAATTTGTTCTTGTTAAATGGCACATTTTGATGTTTTGCAACACGTTTTCCACTGAAGTCAGATTGTGCTTGGGGGGGAAGGGACTGTCCATTAATGTGATAATTCCTCACCTTATTGCTTTAGTTCTGCAAAGCTGCACAAAAAAATGGGTTTGTTTGGTCCCTTTTACCTTTCGCAACATTCATTTAACAGAGATTAAAAGTATTTTTTATTCTAGCCTGTGACATTATTCCAGCTCATGTAAATAAAGCTGGATTTCTTTTATATGACACATTTTGCAGCTCACAGCATTATCTTTTACTCATGAAATCATTTTCATGGGCCGTCTGCACCTACCTGATCTGAGTAAAATGCAACAAAAAAAGAAATGAGATTTCTATAATGTCATTTGTACTAAAATAGACAATTTCTAAAAGCAAGGCACATCCTCCCAAAAACTAATAAAATACGTGCCACTGGGACCTGAGCAGATCATCCCCAAAGTACAATTGAGATCAGACTGATTCATATAAATTAGCCAATAATGCAGTATCTGAAGAGTTCAGATGCAATAACCTGAACATTTCCTCTAAATCTTGCAGTTCTCTTAACCTCCTATGTTTATGTTCAGTTATTTCACGTTAAAGGCAATGAAAATAACCTATTCTTTGCACTAAGAGTAAAATGACTAAAACTACACACAATAGCCTGAGAAAATGCTGATTTTAGCTGAAAATTTCAGACGGCACTTGAAGGTTTTTCATTTAAACTTTTCATATATACAAAAAGCTGTGAGATTGTATTAATCTTTACCACTGACAAGAATTTTAACTTACAAAAAAATATTTTTTGATGTTTTACGAAACATTTTACTCATTAAACCAACCTGAAATCACAGAGAAAAAAAAAATATACATGCTTTGGAGAATTGAGAGTCTTAGAAACTACGTTTTCTATAAAGAAGGCCCATCCCTAAACATGTGCGTCACTATGACGTGAGCAGATCATCCCAAAACATGCAAATTAATACAAATATCAGAATGTGGTCAACTTATTACAAACTGCCATGAGACTATGTTGGTTTGCACCTCTGACAGAAATGCTTCACGATGCACACAAAGTGTATTTCTTTGGTCTCTTTCACTTTTCATTTTTTACATCCTAACAAATGTTCCTTCATGCAGATTGGAAAAGTATTTGAGGCTCCAAGCAGAATTTAGTTATTGAGACATTTTGACAATGCAAACCCACAACTATTTAAATCCTTTAGCTCTACAGACCCTTACATTGTCCACGATGCAAACAAAGTGGGTTTTTAAGTCTCTTTCACTTCTGATTTCATCCGTTTGACAGCCGAGCTTTTTAACAACATCAAGAACAAGGCGATTCATTTTATAAATATGCATTTTTAATAGGAGTCGATGGAATGTTTTAGGGCGATGGACTGCTAGTCGAGTCCGCAAATAGCTCGGAGCATCACAGGGGTATGAGGCGAAAAGGACAAACTCTTTGTCTTTCAAGAGGAGGGCAGCTTTTGGAGGGGAGAAGAAGGTCTATTCATCCTATCTATCATTCTCTTTCTCCTTCTTTCCTTCTATACAAGTCTGAACTACTGCAGTGCTATTCTGAGAGAGAGTGAGCTGCCTCAACCCACGCACAGAATATCACAGAGAGAGAGAGAGATAAAGAGAAGTCGACAGAATGGCCAAAACAGACATGTTTTGCAACAGGAATACAATGAAATCGAAGCAGAACGGCACGATTTCCTAAGATCAGATTAAAGGCAGGTGAAGCGTCCACGATTTTCTCAGCGAACTCATGTTTCCGTCAGATTTTGAAGCTGTTTGTGAATGCGCCACATCTTCAGTCGCACATCTCTTTAGAAGTCGCCCACAGTGCCTTGCTGATTGGACGCCGCGTTCTGGAAAAAAAGAGAAGCTAATCCAGTTTGTAGAGGCGCATACTGTTTCGCATAGACAAGAAGGTGTCGAAATGGCCTACGCTTTATTATAGATATGCAAATGAGAGGTTACTGTTTTTAATGTTGAAGACTGGAAACGGCCCACATGGATCACCTGCTCAGATCAAAGTCGCAGTTTTAAAACGTCTTCTCAGGTTGCTTCTTGCAGAACTTCATGACAAGTGTGAGGAAAGTACTGAAAAACAATAACAAAAACAACAACAACAAAAAAAACCTAGTCTTCCCACGTAGGTCTCGCTGGTTGCTCTGTATGTGCAAAATCTGTAATTGAATCTGTCCTTTTAAAAGCTTGGCTATTAAATGCATCCATATTAATCATGCCCTAATTAAGGGGCAAACCCATCAGCAGGTTCTGTTCTGCTAATCATGAAGACTTCGTTAACAGGGGCAGTTCACACATCCAGTGTTACATCGATAAGTCATTAAACAGTTGAGGCCAGAATTATTAGCCCACAATAGAATTTTTCTCTTTTTTAAAATATTTCCCAAATTATGTTTAACAGAGCAAGGAAATTTTTACAGTTTGTCTGATAATATTTTTTTTTTCTGGAGAAAGTCTTATTTGTTTTATTTCGGCTAGAGTAAAAGCAGTTTTTTTTTTATTTTTTAAACACTATTTTAAGGTCAATATTTTTAGCCCCTTTAAGCTATATATTTTTTCAATTGTCTACAGAATAAACCATCATTATACAATAACTTGCCTAATTACCCTATTCTGCCTAGTTAACCTAATTAACCTAGTTAAGCGTTTAAATGTTACTTTAAGACGTATAGAAGTGTCTTGAAAAATATCTAGTTTAAATAGTATTTACTGTCATCATGACAAAGATCAAATAAGTCAGTTATTAGAGATGAGTTATTAAAACTATGTTTAGAAATGTGCAGAAGAAAATTTTCTCTCCGTTAAACAGAAATTGGGGGGGGGGAAATAAACAGGGATAAATAATTCTGACTTCGACTGTATGAATATATAATAATATGAATTATTATAATTTAGTTAAAGTCAGAATTAGGGCTGCATAATATTGAATAAATCTGATATTACGATATTTTATTTTTTGCAGTATATATTGCAATATAAATATAATTCACAAGATAGTTTGAATTGCTGTATTTGACAATTTTCTGGGCAATCTGAAAGTATTCAGGTACAGAAATTGAATAATCACAATTCTAAAAATGCATATCATTTCTAGTGAAAATATCTAAAAATGTCTTAAATCAAGTAAAAAAATATTGTTTAGCTTTCACCTTTAGAAGAAACTAAGAGTTTTTCCTTAAAACAAGCTAAATTCTCTGCCAATAGGGTAAGTAAAATAGTCTGTTTTCAGTTTGAATTCAGTTAAATGCCATATAAATAACTTAAATACAAGTAATCTTTGTTACACTTTCCAACATTACAATATTTTTGTGCCCAGATTTTTAAAACTCTCTTGAATTGTGCAATCAAAGGCAGTTAAAACACATGCAGAGGATAAAGTTGCCCTCTATTATGTTTAAACTTACAAATCACATGTGCTCTGTAGCTCCTGGTCAACTACGATTCAGACTCAACATTGCAGATCCTGCGATGTGACTATTTCAGATGTGCACATTGCGATATCGATGCTGAAACGATATGATGTGCAGCCCTAGTCAGAATTATTAGCCCTCCTAAATTATTAACCACCCCCCGCCCCCGTATATCTTCCCCCCAATTTTCATTTAAAGAAAGGAAGCACATATCTAAACATAATAGTTTTTATTACTAATAAACTAATTTCTTTTATATTTTCTATGATGGCAGTAAATAATATTTTAGTGGATATTTTTCAAGGTACTATATTCAGTTTAAAGTGACATTTAAAGGTTTAACGAGGTTAATAAGGTTAATTATGCAGATTAGGGTAATTAGACAGGCCATTATATAACAATGGTTTATTCTGTGGACAGTGGAAGAAAATTGCTTAAGGGGGGTAATCATTTTAACCTTAAATCAACCATTTTGATTTTAAAGAATGATTTATTTAGCTGAAATAAAACAAATTAGACTTTCTCTAGAAAAAAAAGTATTATCAGATAAACTGTGAACATTTCCTTGCTCTGTTAAACATAATTTGGGAAAAAAAGATTTAAAAAAAAATCACAGAGGGCAAATAATTTTGACTTCAGGTGTGTATACACAGTTAAAAGCA